AATGGGAGTGAGGGGGCGTGGTTTAATCGGCCAATCAGCACGCGCCGATGGTGAGAAGAGCGGGAGTGATGCGGAAGTTCCAGGAGAGTGAGAACGGACACTAAAAGGCTCCTTTCTGACCCCAAAACCGCCCCCAAACCGCGGCCACCGCAGAAAAAACTTGAAATAAGGCTGAAAACAGTGTGAAAAAAGGCTGATTTACCCCCCACCGAAATGGAGGGCCAAGAGAAGCACCGGCCTGAGCTATGGCTACATAAATGTCGTCCTCATATAAATATGGTTACATAAATGTTGTACTCATATAAATATGGTTACATAAATGTCGTACTCATATAAATATGGTTACATAAATGTTGTAGTCATATAAATATGCGTTTAAGGCAAATTGTATAAATACCAGTTGCATTTGTGCGAACCTTTTGAGCAAGTTTTCTGTGGTGCAAACCACACTTGTGCTGCTCAAAAGGTCCAAAGGATGGGGGATAGCACCAGTTCCATTTACCTGATTTTTTGTATTCACCCCGAAAATTTCAGTTGCAGTGCTGGGGTGAAGCTCTTTCATCTGGTCAGACATTTAGGCTGAAAGTCTTGGTTTGGGGTCTCCTATTTTCCCCTTCCAGAGTTCATAGTCGTCGGGGAGGCTGCAGATCCAGTTCTTCTCCGTGTGGCACAGGGACGAGCTGATCCACCAGTCATCGAGGTACCCGCAGGGCCCCACACCCCTCACCTCAAACCTGCAAATGCCAATGGGACCAGAGTGAGAAAGGGAAAAGGAAAAGAAGAAAACTCCCCCCAGAAATTAAGAAGAGCTTGGATTTCCTCTCTGGCAGAGAAGGGCTTTGGCTGGGGGGGTCTCCAATACTCTGATCAGGGTTGGGGGGCAGCGACCTCGGCCCATCCCAACCCCCCATGGAAAGCCAGGAGCTGCCTGGACACGGGGCAGGAGAAGGTGCCCATCCCAGGATGGGGCATCCCAGACTCCAGGAAATCCCTGGGGCCCACCCCGGGGCTCCAGCACGGACACAGGGACCCACCTGCCGTTCAAGGCCGTGCCATTGATCCACTCCCAGCCCTTATCCCTCATTCCCAGCCCGATCCAGTGGTTTGCTTCGCCTTTATAGCGCAGAAGGAAGGCCTGGAAGGCAAAGAAACATTGGCTTTGGCCAGTCTTGCCTTCCCCACCTTCTCTTTCCTTCCTGTGTCCACCCCCATCCAGGCCTGGGGCTTTTCCCAAGGGCTTGGCTCCCAGCTCCAGCACTGGCAGCACTTTGGGGCCAGCCTGGGGGGTTTGGGGCTGATTTATCCTCTTGGTTTCCCTGTGTTTCCCACCCCGGTGCTGCTGCAGAGGCTCAAGCCCAGTCCTCACCAGTTCAGCCCAGTCCTCACCAGTTCCTCCCAGTCCTCACCAGTTCCTCCCAGTCCTCACCAGTTCCTCCCAGTCCTCACCAGTTCCTCCCTCGTGCTTATGGTGGCCAGTGAAGCTCCCAGGGCCTCACAGTTTTCCCGGCCCGTGGTCCAGTTGCCCTCAGCCTCAGAAAAATAATAGCATTTTCCTTGGAAACCAGGCCAGGTGTCTGGGCACACGTGGGAGAATTCCAGCTCAGAGAACTGGCGTCTGACACCGAGAACTGAAACACAGAAAGCTGAGTCAGACACGTGGGCAGCCCTGAAAAGCAGCAAAATGGGATTGATTGCTTGGGGTTTTTTTTTTCCAGGAGCTGGAAGAGGGAAACTAGGGATGATTCTCTTGGGAAAATGTGTGACTGAGGGAGGAGCAGATGCCTGGAGCAAAGTGCAAAGGCTCCCACTTTGGGAGCCTCCCTGGATGCTGGGAATGTCGTGGGATCCTCCCACCTCCCAAAACCTGGCCCGAATCCTCCCCCTGGGGGTGCCTGGGTGGGATTCACCAGTCACTGCTCCAGCCAGGCTCAAGCTGAGGATCCCCAGGAACACACACAGAGCGAGGAGAACACACACCTTGGAGGATGTTCTCCGCTCTGACTCGGTTCTGTAGGACCCTGGGGCAGGAAAGAGCAGGGTGAGGATGGCCTGGCTCCTCTCCCCTCTGCTTTGCCCTCCTGTGCTGGACCCTCAGTCCATCCCCAGCCCCACCCAGGCCCATCCAGGGACCCCTCTGGGGGCTCAGGAGTCCTTCAAAGCCACTGATGTGTGTTTGACGGCCTGGAGACGGATCTTCAGCCTCCAGAGGTGAATTCCACAGCCTGGAGTTCAGTGCCTGGGCTGCTCCACACCCACCCAAAGGCTCCATCCCCATCCCACTGGTGCCCCCCCAGAGCAAGATGCTCTTCCCACACCCCGCCCTCCCTCGGAACATTTGAGGTTTTCCCAGCATTACCACATTTGGACTCTTTCTCTGGATCACTGCAGATGTTCAGTGTTTCTTCATGGCTTGAAGAATTTGGCTTTTGGGTTTCTTTCCCCATCCTTGCAGAGAAGCCTCAGGGCCCGGGGCTGACGTTCCCTGGGCTCTGTGGGGTGGATGCACTCGGCAGCCTGGGGTGGAAGGAGAGGAGAGGCTGAGGGGACCTGCAGGGAGCTGAGACCTCCTAGGCCACAGCCCAGCCAGCCACAACAGCCCCTGTGGGGCTGGCACTGACTCACAGCGTTATCTTGGTGCACCATCTGGGAGGGCTGAACACACATCTGGGAGAGGAGGTGGCACAAAAGGACAGAGGGAGGGGAAAAGATAAGGGTGGGAAAGATTAAAGAGGAAAAAAACAACCACAACAAATTTAGCAGAAAGGAAAGAGAAAGACAAGTTTAAAGGCACTTGAACTATCAAATAAATAAGTCATTGAGACCTCACAGGTCAAAGGCAGTTGAAGTGTTTGCAGGGGACAGGAGCCCCTTCAGGGCTCAGAAGAGGCACCAAGGGCTCGGAGCAGAGTTTGTGCTTTGGGGGCCCTTTTGCAAAAACACACAGGGTGGAAAGCAGCCTGTGACAGTTCACAGCACCTGTTCTGCTCGGGTTTTCTCTGTTGAGCTTGTTTTGCTCACAGGAATCCCCGTGCTGGTTCCCCCCCCTCCCCGTGCCCACTGTTGCACGAGCACGACCTGGTTCCCTGCACCCCGAAACAACAGGGGCAGCAGCTTTTGGTCCTCTGGGGTCTTGTGTAAGTTATTATCAGCACCAAATGGACCAATTGAAGCTCATCAGGAACATGACCTGATAAAACAGCAATATTTCATTGCAAGGTGAGCTCTGAAAGCTGCAAAGGGGCAGGTTGGTTTGTGGGTAAATGGATGTGAAAAAAGCACAAAGCGATTCCCTCAGAGGGGATTTGCAGGAGGAAAGCTCAAGGAGTGCTCAGATAACAGCATTTCCAGAGCAGTGAGAGGGTTAAATTGGGAGGAGAAAGAAACAAACACAGGATGAGCCAGAAGGGGGTGGTGTTTCTGCATCCTGGGGGTTTCCAAAGTTGGACAGGATAAAGGCCAGACCTTGCCCAAGCTCTGAGCTGGATCTGAGCCCGAAAGTGAGGGAGGGATCATTACAGGTGAATGCTTGTTATTTCAGAAACTAAACTATCAAGTGCCTGGACCTGCTTGATATGCCAGAAGCCCCAGTGCACAAGTTCAGCCCCCTCATTTCAATCCAAAATTTCAGTCCTACTTCTGCCCCACAATATTGACGGTACAAATTCAACAAATTCCCTTAAAAGGATCCACGAAGGTTCACATTGTAAGACCCCCCCGGTGCAGCCCGAGCTCCTGCCCAAGTTGAATCCCTCCCAAGCCCACCCTGGTTTCCAGCTGGTTCGCTCCAGCTCCCCCCAAAATCACTGTTCATCCCACTCAACTGAAACAAATTAAAGCCATTTTTATATCATTATTTGCCTCTTTTCACCACGATTTGCTCAATTCTCTTCCCGAGAAGCAACCCTGTCAGCAACAAGGGGCTGAATAAAACCCCAACAAAACCACTGCAGAAGCTCTTACGAGGCAGCAAAAATGACAAACCAGCCCAACCCCGCAGCAGACACTCAAACCAACCCCACGGCAGCAAAAGCCTCACTAAACTCAGCTGTAAAATTGAGAACTTTGGGGTTTATTCCCCCTTTCCCCTTCAACGTGCCACGTTTAATTAATCAGGTGGTCATTGCAGCCCCCCCAAAGACAAGACTCTGATGTGGGGGCTCAGCCCTGTCCCAGCCGTGGCTCACTGTGGGCAGGGAGCACCCACCACCCTGAGTTTGGCAGCCCAGGAGCTGCTCTGGAGTACTCACCTCGCAGGGCAGCTCTCGGAGACTGGGAGACCTTATGGTAGGGTTGGTTGAATAATAAATAGGGAAGGAGAGTCACCAACAGCTGGAGTTGATTTTCGCTGTTCTCCAGCAGCTTCTCAGTGTCTCCTACTTGGCATCAGGAACCGTTGCTTCCCATTGGCTGTCGTGGGCCCTCTGACGCTTCCCATTGGCTGCTGGGGGTTCTCCCACGCTTTCCATTGGCTATTTTTGACCCCCCCGCCCTGGCTCGCCGTGTAATGTTGAAAAACGGGAAATGCGTGAGTCGCGGGTCTGCCTGCCTTCCTCGGCCGCCACCGAGCTGGTCTGCCTGCCTTCCCCACCGCCACGGGCTTTATCTTTCCTCACCATTTTACTGTTTATTGCCTTCCCCGCCGTCTCGTGTGCCCCATCTAGCCCCGACAGCCTCACCCATTCCCCGGCTCCACCCGCGCACGTTCCATCGCGGCTCTCGGAGCCTTGGAGCTCCCGGGGGTGAGGTGGGGCTGAGCCCCTTCCCAGTGCTCCCAGTGTGCCCAGTCACCCCCCAGCACCCCAGGGAGGGCTTCGGGGGGACACAGCACACAAGGGCTGCTGGGGGGTCCCACCTCACTTCTGTTTGTTCTATTCTTCCCAAGCTGGGCAAAACAGATTTTTTGATTTTCTACCCGAACTCTGTCCCCCTGGTGCCCCCCAGGAGCGGCTCTACCCCCCCCAGAACGGGACCGTGTCCTGACCGATGGAGCTGAGAGGGACGAGGGGGTGTCAGACAAGTGGGGAAAAAAAACCCTAAATGACCAGGGGGAGTCAGCTCCTCCTGCCCTGCCTGGTTCTGACACTCCCATGGCTCCAGCCTTTTTGCCACCCCCACTCCCCTGGGAGATGCTTCTTGGGGAAGCAACACCAAATATCACCTGTCACGTTTTAGTCTCACCCCCTAAAAACCTCAATCAGAGGCTTTTTGAGTTGATTTAATAAATTAATTTGATTAATTTAATAATTTTCTGCCATTCGGCCCAACCCTGTGTGTGTTCCTGCACCTCCAGGTGAGCGCCCTCCTCCTCCTCCTGGCTGGGGACACCCAAACCCTTTCCCCAGGCACAGGGGAGGCTGCAGAATATAGAGATATGTTTAAAAAAAACCCCAAAGAAACATAAAAGGCCTGGTTGGTGCCATTTCCTGGGACCGGACGCGCGTTGGTCACGAGGTGAGAAGGTGTCCGAGGCTGGTGTCACTCTCGGGACACGCCAACGACCTCCAGAGCCACCATGGCTGGGGAAATGGGTCATGCCGATCTAAGAAATCCTGGGAATGGGCCTTCTCCAGCTGAGAAATGTCCTGGTGAGTGTATTTTGGGGGAAAAAAGGCTTATTTCAGGCCCTGGGAAGAGTTTTGGGTCCGTTACCTTTGGGGTCCCTTTGCTTCTCCATCCCCACGTTCAGGTTTCCAAGCTCATGGGGTGGCCTTTGAAATGGGGTCTGGGCTTGTCTGGAGCGGGACAGGGACAGGAGAGGCTGGAAAATCTCCAGAACTGGAACAGTTTTGTTTCCCAGACCCTTCACTGGGTGGCCAAAAGGGGATCCCAGGAAGCCCCAGGGGAGCCACCACCCCTGGGAGGGCAGGGAAGGGGCCGAGCCCCGTTCGGACCCCGGAGGTGTCGAGGGCTGGAGGGACCCGTGGCCACCAACTCCCAGCTGGAAACTGAGCCCCTTTGGGAGTTCCCAGGTCCTACCCTCTGTCACTGGGTCCTCGAGGCTGCTCCCGAGGCTGCTGCACCCCCTGAGCCCCCCAACCCCCCCAGGGGTGCTGCCCTGGCTCGAGCCCTGTCAGGGGGGATTTATGGCTTTGGAGGAAGCAAAGCAACCAGAAACTTCTGCTCGAACTCACAGCTCAGCAGAGGGTTTTTTTTTTATGCTCTTAACCCCCAATCTTCTTCATATTTTTTAAGCTTAAATGTGGCCTCTTCCAGCTCCTGCCCCATGCCCGTGGTGGCACCGAGTCCTCCTCACAGCCGGGGCTCTGGGGCACCTCGTCCTGCTGGTGCTGGTGGTGCTCCGAAATGTGAGTGGTGAGTAACCAGCTCTTATCTCCGTCTCACACCCCGGCCAGGAGAGGCCTGGGAGCGGAAATCTGGGTTTGTTGCAGCGGTTCAGGCCCTGGAGGGTTGGTGCAGACACAAGAGCCAAGAGCAAAACCCCCTCTGGGCACACCTGGAGCATCCCCACGAACGAGGGAGGAGGGCAAGACCCGTGGGCTTTGGACCAACTTCATTAACTGCGGGGAAAAACCCGCCTTGTCTCTGTGGGGTTTGTAATTTGGCTTCAACTTCTCACTTTGCTCTCAGTTTTTCAGGGCTCTCTAGAGCCAGGAACCAGACGGAGCGATGCATCTTCCCATCCCTGGTGTGGTACTTCTGCCAGCCCCAGGGGCAGAGCCCTCCAGGTGAGCCCCCTTCCCACCTGGCTCTGCTGGGAGAGGCTCAGGTGGGTCCTTGGGGGGCTCCTCCTGCAAGGAGACCCTGCACCGAGGGTTCTTTGGCAAAAAGGAGCATTTTTAAGGAAGAATTCCCTTTTCCGTGGGATTTTTGGCGGTCCCACCTCCCCAGAGGAGCATGGTCAGCCCAAGGGGGGATGTTTCTCACCACCCTTCCTGCACCCCAACTACCCACTGTGCCTGTATGGTCACCCAACTGAATCTTCTTCCTCCCATTCCTCCCCCTCCTCTTTCTCTTCGTCCTCCTCCACTTCCTGTTCCTCCTCCTCCTCCTCCTCCATGGTGGTAGAGCAGAAAAACCACAACGCTGGGAAATAACTCGAGGGTTTGGTGCCTTTCATTTGGGGGGTCAGAAAAGACCTTGCCCACCTTTGCGGTGTCTCATTCGTGGCCTTCCTCCTCCCCAGCCCCTGCTGGCTGCAAGCTGTGCCCCCAGGACTGGCAGCTCCGTGGGGAGAGATGCTACTGGCTCTCCAAGGAATCGGGGAACTGGACTCGGGGCAGGAAAAGCTGCGAAGATCAGGGCTCTGAGCTGGTGGTGCTCAAGAACGAGACAGAAATGGTAAACAGGGAGGAAAAGGCTTGGAAAGGACCCAGAAGTCCTGGGTTTTTAGGGGGGCAGGGGAGCAAAAGGCTCCCAGCAGCAGGAGGGTTTGGGGTTCAGAGCACGGGACACTCATGTCCCACGGATTTGGGGGGTTGGGTTTGTTCTGTGGCTTTGCACCCCACGGAACTCCCCGTGGAGAGATTTTTTTGGAGCAACTGGTGCCTTCCACGTCCCAGGAGAACGTCGAGAGTGTCACAGGCAGGCGCCCGTGGTCGGTGTGGGTCGGGTTGAGGTCACGGCAGAAGGAGTGGACGTGGGTGGACAACACCCCCTACAACCCCCACAGGTGAGTGTCCGAGGTCTGGGGGGGTAAAAAGCTGCTTTGGTCCATTTGAGACCCCGATCCACATCCACACATCGCTGGGGTCCATGCAAGGGTCTCTTATTCCTCTGGCAACACTCTGCAGACCAAGAGTCTGGGTCATGGGGCTCGTTGGGGTTGGTTATGGGGTATTTGGGGTCACAGGGCACGTTGGGGTTGGTTATGGGGCAATAAACCCTTTGTTGTGCAGGTTTGGGGTCCTGCGGGAGCTGGATGAAGGGTGTGGGACCCTGAAAGGCAAGAGCTTGGATGTTGATGTCTGTGCCAGTGACCACAAGTGGGTTTGCCAAAAAGCCCCTTTCCAGCTCTCCCCGCCCACGGCAGGAGACGTTGGGAAGCTGGATGATGCTTCCACCTGACACACTTGGGCAACGGACCCCATGTGGTATAACAAAATCATTTATTACAGTTCTTTCATGGTTTATCCACCCTGTTACAGCCGCAGTAAATTCCAGTCAGTAGCTTTTCTCTATATCCACTTTTTAGTTAAGCATTCTCTGCCCAGGAGAAAAATACTCCCAAGCAATTTCAGACACACACGGATACATCTCACCACGTCTGTATTCAGATTGCCAAGTTCCCCTTAAGTTTCTCCCAGAGTCACATAATCTCAGTACCTACACTTAAGTGTTATTTTTATGCTTTTACATTACTATAGATGACAATAAGCCAAGTGGCTCCATCCCTGCTTTCCTTTGCAACCAAACTCTCCTAAAATAAACACACATATTCCAATACCCGTCCCTTCAGTGTCTTCACTCTAAACCCACCCCACGGGAGCCAAGAGTGACGGGTCAAACAGCCAAATAGTCCCGTCCTCAATGGGTGTCACCAATGGGTGGAAATAGTGGTTCTGTGAGGGCGACTCTGTGAGGGCAGTTCTGTGAGGGCAATTCTGTGAGGGCAGTTCTGTGAGAGCAACTGTGAGGGTAACTCTGTGAGGGAGGTTCTGTGAGGGCAGTTCTTTGAGGGTCATTCTGTGAGGGCGACTCCGTGAGGGTGATTCTGTGAGGGCGATTCTGTGGGGGCGAATCTGTGAGGGCAGTTCTGTGAGAGCGTTTTGCCATCTTGGCTCCCTCAGGGCTCCTTCAGCCACCGTGGCACCTGCGGACATTCCCTCGGACCTTTCCCCACCCGCACGGGGCGAGCGGCCCCCGCAGCTCCCGCCCCGACCAGGACACGAGGGACAGCGGTGGGGTCGTACAAACTTTAATATAAATGGGTAAAAAAGGAGAAGAGAGAGAAGCAGAGCGGCAGCACTGATACAGTGACTCTGCTGAGGCCACAATCAGGACATTGTACATTCACATTCACAGTTTCATATAGCTTTCAGCAATGTAAAAATACTTCACATGTGCACATTCAAGCACTACAGTGCTTGAATATAGTGCATACAGTGTTAGCATAAAGTAAATATAACTAGAGGATGAGGAAGACTTCTGGAGAAAGAAACCCCTAGTCCACGAAGGCACAAATCCACTTCC